TGAACAACTCCAATTGTATGGCTGTCAATTCATCTTGCAGCAGCTACAGGATAACCAAACGGGTAAGCGCGACAGACAAATCTTGTCCTGCGTCCACTTGCCTGGATCGTGACATCCTTTTCCCGCAATTGAAGGATCTGCGTTTCTACTTGTTTGTCCAACTTGGTCACACGCGCATTGAGTGTCTGCGATCTACAAGGACGCACATCAGTCATTACATTGATCATCAAGCCATTTTTACGTACTCTTCATTCAATTGCTTGTCACGATCATAATATGTCCTCAACTGCTCACTCATGTCCAAGAGCCGCTGCGCATTTTGACCCTGTGTCTTGTAGAGTTCACTCTGCTCTTCCTTAAGTACCTGCAGCTGTTGCTCCAATTCCTGTGTCCGTTGCTGGTTGAGCGGTGACCTGTAGGTAAACGGTCAAAAAGCCCGCGCATTCGTCTCTTGCCTATTCAGTCCCTTACCCTTGTTCTCTGACAATGCCAAGCTGTTGCCGCAAGTCGGCTTCTGTATGGCGCAAGGCCTCTGTCTCTGCCTCTAGCTCTGAAATGCGCAGTCCCTTGTCGACATTGTCTTTCACCAACCGAGTGTCTGTAATGCATGCAGTGAGCCAATGCGCACGTCATCCTAAACCACCTTACGAGCATCAATGAATGGATGAAACGCGCCCTCTAGCCTGTCTCGCTCCCTAAACTTTAACAGCAAGTCGTCAACAATAGGCTGAACATCCATCATGATGAGGTCAATTGCGTGACTTGCGTCTTTTGATTGCCTTTGTGTAAAGCTTCAAGCTTTTTTGTGCTTTTATATCACACTATGAGAGTGACACCTATCCGCTGTCTTGACGACAAGTAAGACTGCGTAGACTTGGTGTGTGGATAGTTCTTGCTGAAGCTCGGTTGGTTTTTAGCTACGCCTACTTGTTGTGGGACGAAGAGACGCAAAGGGGTATGTCGTCCAACGTTTATAGCGGTGTTTGCGTTTACGCTTTTATTCACTTACCGGGGCCACTCCTAGGCGTTGTGATTGATCCGGTGGAGCCGAGAAAGGTTTTGCCCGTGGTGGAGAAGGAACGCGTCACATTGACGGGGTAAGGCTCGAGCAGTCAAGGACATACCGAGCTCATGCCCTCACCAGGATCCTCAATACGCATCATCACTTGGATCACTCTGGCGGCAATAAAGACTTTCTAAAGGAACGCCCTGGTTTGGATGTGATTGCTGGTGATGATCGATGTGCCGGACTGACCAAGAAGGTGTCGCACGGCGATCAATTTTCGGTCGGCAATCTCAAGGTGACGGCTTTGCACACGCCGGGCCATACCATGGGAAGCATTTGCTTTTACGTGGAAGATCCCAAGGGTGAAAAGGGCGTCTGGACGGGTGGGTGACACATGGCTGGGTGCTCCTCTAATCTGCTTAACACGGATTGGGCAGGTGACACGCTCTTTATTGCCGGGTGCGGCAAGTTTTTTGAAGGCACCGCTGAAGACATGTATCATTCGCTGGTCGAGGTCTTAGGCAAGCTTCCCGATGACACCTTGGTGTGGTGCGGACATGAGTACACGAAAAACAATTTCAAATTTGCAAGACATGTCGATCCTGACAATCAGGAGATTGCCGCCCAGGCGGAGAGAATTGCTCACCAAAAGTTTACGGTGCCTAGTACGATTGGCGACGAAAAGAAGTATAACGTGTTCATGCGCTGTACGGAACCTTCCATGCAGAAAGTCACGGGCGAATCGGACCCGGTCAAGGTCTTGGGCAAGCTCCGAAGCATGAAGGATGGGTTTCGTGGATAAAATGCAGGCTGCCAGGCTGAAAGACAAGAGTCGATGTGAAGTGCAAAGTAACATGTGAAAGAATCAGATAAAGGATGTTGATCTTTATTTGTTGCGTGTCTTGCAAGACAAGGTCAACGGCGCGGGTCCAAGGTGGATTGAACATAAATCTCGCGCGGCATGCTAGCAATCAGGATGGTTAGAAACGCGGATGTGGATAAGTAATACAGATATTGGTGGACAGGGAGATTGGGGACAGGATAGCATGGAGGACCAGGTGTGGAAACAAAACTTTTCTTCCGTGTTCCGCGCGCTATGAATGATGCCATGGCGGCCGAATGAGGCCGTGTCTGATAACGTCGAGTACCCTATGAATCATGTTGGGGGAAATCGCTCCAGACCGGGTGACGTCCATTTGTGATTCACATACAGGGAGGATCTTTGGTTCTCTGGACAGTCCAAGTCTCGCCGCAAGTCAAGTTGGACCGAACACGCGACGTGTATTGCCCTCAACGTAACCATGACAGCCGTCTCGCATCACATTATTAGCTTCTGCTCAACCACACCCGGACAGCACGCCGCAGACCCCGATTCTGTACAAGTGTTCCAATAAAAATCTTGATGATCTGATAACCGCAAAGGTGACAACTGAAACCGGGTATAAAGAATCTGATAAGATTTTCCTCACACTTAACCTCTTTGTTTGCGCATGCCATTTCAACACAAGGACGAGCATCTATGATGCAGAGGTGCCGGATACAAGCTCAGAGACAGAGACGACAGTCAGTAGTTCAAAGAGTCCTGGTGTGAGGCGGATCGAGGCGATCGCGTCATCGTTTACCGTCGTTAGCTTTACGATCTTGTTTGTGGGCATCTTCTTAACCGCGTACGTCTATGGACTTGATGGTCAGACGCGTGGTGTCTATCAGGTGAGGATCTGCGGATAAAGAGGATCGCGCGGCTTCTCACCCGTTGTCGCTAGACCTATGCCACCAATAGCTTTGACAATCATTCCCTCTTGTCGACCCTCAACGTGGTCAAGGCTGTGATTGCCGCTGCGGCGCAGCCACCCCTGTCCAAGGCAGCCGATGTGTTTGGCCGATTGGAGCTCGTCACCTTTTCAGCCTTCTTTTATGTGCTCGGGACCATCATCGAAGCCTCTTCCCACAATGTGCAAACCTATGCCGGAGGGCAGGTAGTTACGGTGGTGCAGCGAATCGCGATAGCAGCGACTGATGACTGGTTTGTCTTGCAGGTCCTCTGGCAACTCGGGCTCACCGGCTTCCAACTCTTGTTTGAAGTCTTAATTGCCGATGTTTCGACTCTGCGGAACCGGGCCATCTTGTCCTATGTACCCGCCTTGCCCTTTATTATCAATATCTGGATCTCCGGCAATGTGACAAATGCTATTCTAGCCAACTCGACATGGCGGTGAGGTGAGTGCAGTCTGTTATAGTCTCTGAAGCGGAGCCCGACCGTGTTCGATCTTTGAATGATATCACTCACCTCAAGGACCAGGCGTTGGCATGAGGTGCATCATTGTTCCTGCGACAGCTATACCCATCTATGTGGGATTGTTGATGGCCTCTCGGAGGGCCAGGCATCATGGCAAATTCAGTGACGTTCAATCCGTCTATTCAGGTCACTCGCTGCGACAGAATATCATCACCTTGTTTTGGCCATTGGATGTCATAGGTGTCTTGCTTTTGTCTGCTGCGCTATCGCTGCTGCTGATTCCTCTGACGATTGCCGGTGGTCAATCCTCGCAATGGCACAAGGCTGATATCATTGTCTTGCTCGTCCTGGGCTTCCTGTCTGCGCTGGCGTTTGTCCTGTGGGAACTATACGGAGCCAAGTATCCCTGTTTGCCTTTTCGTCTATTGAATGACAGAGGCATCATTGCCGGTCTCTGGGTTGCTCTATCCCTCAACATGTGCTGGTATCTTCAGGGAGAGTGGGTGTCTAATCAATATTACCCATCCATGGCTGACATCTTAGAACAGCTACTTGTACACGGTGCTCTCTGTCGCGTTCAATGAATCTGTTGTCTCTGCCACGAGAATCACATCGCTGTACTCGTTTTGCTCGGTCATTTCAGGGGTCGTGATTGGTTTTCTCGTCCGATACATTCGCCGTATCAAGTGGATCGCCGTCACGGGAACACTATTGTTTCTCATGGCACTCGGATTGATGGTTAAATACCGCAGTTCCGCCGATAATGGTCACGCCGGCGTGATTGGCGCTCAAGTAGGTAAGTCTCGTTCTCGTTCTTTGATTCAATCTCAGTAAGTGCACGTCATGACTGACCATGGATAGCGCTCGGTATTGCGGGGGGCTTCTTTCCGTATCCCGTACAGGTTCTGGTGCAAGCGGCCAGCAAGCATGAACACGTGGCCATGATTACCGCGCTCTATCTGACCATGTATCAAATTGGGTCCGCCATTGGCAGTAAGTGCGGTGTTGGAGGACGCAAATCATAGGAGACTGATACATTGGTGCAGACGCCGTTTCCGGGGCTATTTGGACGAATACGCTTCCGGCACGGTTGGCGGTAAATTTGTCACCCTTTAACAATGCCACCTTGGCTACCTACGCCTATGGCTCTCCACTCTCGTTTATTGTGGATTACACATGGCACACACCGGAGCGAGCCGCCGTCATTGAAGCCTATCAATATTCGCAGAAACTCTTGACCATTACCGGCACCTGTCTGGCTGTTCCGCTTATTTTAGCCGCGTTGCTGCTCAAGAATCCGCGACTCGGCGATACACAGGTTCTGCCAGATGCAGAGTTGCCGCAGGGTGCAAAGTCGGTGGAATAGATGTCTATGTGTGGATGTTGGCCGGGGTGCGAGGAAGTATGTTTATACCCATATAGACGGGGTGTCAATCGGTTTGGGTATTTTATTACTTGCACGACGGAAGTCGCTGGATTTCTTTGGATCTGGTCTTCCATCCATCTATCATCGGTGTTCTGCACCGGCCAGTACGGTTTGGTACTTGCCATACACCATAGATTGAGTACTTTATAACATGAAACGTATCAGGAGAAAGCAAACGCCAAACATTAAGGCGACATGACTCACAGTCGGACTTGGTTGATACACAATGAAGCCCATGTTATTCTATCGTTTACACCGGATACCGTGGGAAACACTCATCACTTAAGAGTAGTCGGGGAAATTTCAAGGCCAAAAAGCATAAAAATTAATTTTGCCCACGGGGTGGTTCGAACACCCGACCTTCAGTTTACGAGACTGACGCACTACCACTGTGCTACGTGGGCGTTTTAGTTACAGGTGTCGTAATGATATTATATGTACTCTGGAAAGCCAGCCATAATCACTAATTCAGGTCAGCAACATTGGCAGTGTCACAAAGCGCGTTGAGCGTCACGCAGGCCATTATGTACAAAGGATGTTATATTTCTCTGCGACTACTCCAAACCATACATTCCAGAATCAGTCGTATCCCTGAAATTCGTGCTTGCCCAGACTACAAGGACGATATGACAGCTCCTTTGCTCCCTTTTACCAAAGAACCGAAAGAGCTGTATCCGAGTGTTGCAACGCTGCAATTTGTGTATCATATGACGGGTTCTGTTCTCCCAGACAACTTTTTGTGCTTATAAGGATGGACCTCGCGACTTGCAGTATACAATTAGCTTCCTTTGTCGCCTCTAGGTGGCCATGGTTCAATGCACGTGGAGTGTCACTTGCTGGACATCCATAAAATAGCCTGTTGGAACTCTTTAATACGTGTTCTGATAAATGTAGATGACTCGTCATGCTGGTCAGGAGCGTCACCGAGGGAGAGTTTTGCCGTCAAACTCCCGAACTCTTCGTTTTGCCCATATCTGTCTCTGTTCAATGGTACGCCAATTAGAGAGGAAAAGTCATCTTGTTAGTGTCCATCCGGCGCAATGGTGGCAATGAAAACCAAAATCTAAGGCTTTTGGGGTGCAAACCTGGGCGCCGACATTGCTTGGAAGTCAGAGCTCATATACGCGGCAGCAGCTGACCCACCGAGACAAGACAGGAGACACTCTGTCCATTATGGCCTCGTCTGGAATGGCTTCATATGAGTCAGCAAAGTAATTATAGCGGCACATCTCGCAAAGTAAGCCATGAAAATCAAAGGGAGATGAATCACAGCCCGCTATAGCCGTGACGCCTATGGTGGTTCAAGCCTGCCATCTCATTCATTCGATTTTCCGTCACTCAAGTACTCTAATGATAAGTCACGAGCGCAAACAGAGAGTACAGGGCTAACGATCCGTACAATTTGTCCCTACGCGTTTCATCATTGAACAGAGAACACATCATTGCTTGTTGCAAACTTGAGCTGATGACAACTGTATATTGCACCGCTGAGATAAGCAGAATCTATAAGCCAAGAAAACCGCCAGTTAAACGGATCACAAAAGTGGAGAGAGCAGCGGAGAACCGTGATTTTGGTGCTCATCGAGAGCGTGACATCCATACTATCGCCGCGACTTGTAATCCAAAGGGCCCACTTAGCACTGTGGTCGTGCGTTTGCTTTGATGATTGATGCGCTGCATTCCGAAAAATGCAAGTTATAATCATTATTAGGAATTTTGAGCGGTTTCACATCGACCATGTCCGAGATGTGGATCCTAAAAGTGCCAGACTTCTAGCAAATCATCGACTTTGATAGCGAGGACTCCGAAATGCTCTAGGTACCCACAAGGGGTGTGAATCGTAACATGCAATAGAAAGAGTTGCTAAATGTCGTCGTTGTCGAGACCGATAGCCTTCCAGTGTTGGCCAATCAAACAATTGGTACCATATATGGAAGCCAGGCGAAATTGCGTCTATTGAATTTGGCTGTTGATGCCGTGTCTTTAGCGCACTTTTCGCTATGCAGTAGATTTCCGAGTTGAGCGGATAAGGTCAGCTTTAAATTGGCAAACTTTTACAATCGCACGTTTGGTTCTCTTACGCAAAGCCAACAGCATGTGAAAAAGAGCGATTTCTTGATATTCCGGTAAGACTATATCTGAGATAGGGATAGTTTAGAAGGATCTAATATCTAAAGTACATCAGGAATGGATTAAGTGCCAACGGCAACAGCATATGGGTGCCAACAGCGATGGCCAAAGGGATAATAGCAGTGGGCTCCGTAATACGCCACTCTAGAGGAACGAAAAAGGCCAAGCAACACATGCCAGCAAGAATGGCAAGCATCAAGAGATACATAAACTTGTAGCCCTTGAAGATTTTGGGGATTTCTCGAAAGAAATTGGATTCTTCCAACTCCTTGGCAGTAGCACCCCATCGCATATTGTATCCCACCAAGTGTGCGATCAATGCCAAGGAGACATGAAATGATAGCCCACCAAAGAAAACAGCAAAAAATGGTATCCATTTGAGGTTGTCCCAGAATGCAGCGAAAAGTCCCATCTCTTTCAGACGATAGCGAATGACTGAGAGCGAAATGTTGCCAAACACCGTGAAGAGACAGACTGTCGTGACAAAAATTTGAAAGTTGGTAACGTATACCTGATCAATCGCGTAAGCCCAATATCCCGAGAGGAAGTAGCCGAGGATGGTGACCCAGATAGAGCTTGAGATGGCATCTATAATTACCATTGAGCTCCAGAGTACACTCGTGTCAAAGCGATACATACAGTATGAACCAATGTAGCCAAGAATGCCAATCTTGCAATGCATCTTCATGTTTGAAAGGAGAAATGTGCGGAATAGAGGAGTAAAAGGGCCCTTGCATGGCCATTTGTATAGTGGATGGAAGATCAGCTCCCTTCGATTGTAATCTGTTAGTGATGCTTCATGCGACATGGGACATCTCTCACTTACGAGCACCCATAGGCGTACTTCTGCCATCTAGCAACTTCGTCGTATACGGTGAGCGAGACACCTTCTTTGAACATGTTATCGCTATAAGTTGCATATCGTGTAGTGTAACCCGCAATTTGCAATCGAAGTGACATGTCAAAGTCTTCTGAAACATGGTTTTCCGACCAAATCTTTCGCACACCATCCTGTATGGTAGCGACTTCTTGAATCGCTTCCCAACACAAGAAAGCATTGTGCCTGACGCAAACGCGTGAGCGGAGATGGCATGTCACGCAATATAACCGCACGTACCCTACGAAGGCAGCGCCATCTCCACCGGCGATTGTGATACTAATAGCTATTGCAAAACGCTGTAAGATGCCTGTACGGAAGCAATTTTGCATATCCTAGCTTCTCACCATGATAAATCAATCTAGTGAACCATGCAATACCATGCTCCCAATAATTGTGCACTACAAGCATGACACCGGATGAATGCTGAATGATTGCTACCTCCGGATTCTGTACCATCTCAGTGGCAGAGTCAAGCAAACAGTCCTCCGGAATACGTGAATCGGAATCGAGCAACAATATGAGTTCACCGACGCGGATATTACCAGCTACCCACGCGCTTCCGTCTTGCTCGATCACCTCATTGAGCACACGCTCGTACGCAGCAGCCTCATCGTCCGCAGTCCAGAAAGGTTCTCGGATAGCCTCCAAAGCTTTCTCTACCTTGCTGCTGATGTTGAGCGCGTAATTCATGTTGCTGGCTTTTTTGAAACGTCCACCACGTATAAAACCGTCCTTGCCATGAGGAGGACGCGCAACCCATCCGATTGAATGTTTAAGGTAGTAGTCTTGTCGAATTTGGCGTTCACGCGCGTCTAAAAGTTGCATGCCATCATCGTTGATAAAGATGTTTGCACTCCCGCCTTGAAGTTCATAGGTGGTGATCGCTGCCTTTATGGACTGGACAGTAGGGTCAATGACCTTGTCAAGGCTTTCTTTGTAGACGGGCACCTGGATGGTGACATGCGGCAGCTGATCACCTGAGAGACGATGACGGGGCGCCTTGCCACTATAGAACATTGTGTTTTCATTCAACTGCCGAATAGGGCCAATCATGGTATACAGGACAACCAGAGTCGCTTGCGGAAGAAACTAGACAATGGCATGCATGATTTGAGAAACCTTCTCAGGGCAATCGATTTCCTCTGACCGGCTCACCTGTATAGCGAGTCCAATGATAGGATAGGTGAAGAGAATGAAGAAGCGCGTCCAATCACCATCGACGTACCACTCTGTGAGCATAACACCTAAAGCGAACTTGTCGATGAAACGGCACACATGGAATGTCAACTTACGTATACCGTTCCCGAGGAGGACTATGACCGTCATGGTGGCCAGACTCGTGGTCAGTGGAGTGATGAACATGTATTCTCGGCGTTTGCTATCCAAGCTCTCCAAATCTCGCTCTTTTTCCAGCTCCTCTTCTAGCACTTCTCTTGGCAGGCCCGACCAGATCAATTGAGCGAGTTTCTTTTGCATGGTCTCCGCGAAATCGAGGATAGTTTCGACCGAATCGCTCCAGATGATGAGCGTTCGGTCTTCGCGGACAAAGGCAGCCCACTGATGCTTTCGAGCACGGGGAAGATGACGCTCACTCCCGAGGATCTGGATTCTCGTGCCGTCTCGCAACCGAACATCTTTGGCGTCAATGGGAACAGACTCGAGTACGGATTTGACAAACTTTGAACTCATCTTGATGGCAACCTATGCAAGTTGTGCTCAGCAGAGCACGTCTGACGCACCCTTGACATACCTCAATGTTGAAGGCAGTGATAGTTGCCCGAAAAGCTTCATTGTTTGGTGGATAAACGACACTGGTCCCTCGGGTCATGCGCAGCGAGGCGCATCCAATCCCGCTGTTGGCATTGAAATATTCCTTGAAACTGGAAGCTGCGTACAAGCGCTCTGCAATCACCTCATACTTGGTTGCGCTCTTTTGTCCTTCATTGTCAAAGTCAAGGTCTTCGCGCGCAGCATTTTCCATGTACCCATTGCTGCCCTCGGAGTCAAGGCCATCTTCGTTTACTGATCCAACGACCGTCAGAGAGGAGACTGTGCGTGAAATTTTCATGCTGCCACAACGACCACAAAGGTATCTCAGAATTTAGCAGAGGAGACGAGGCAACGCACATTTGCGTAAACTAAGCGCCTTAAGTAGGAGTTTCTATATTCGTGCAGATATCTGTGCTCATCACGATAAGCGCCAGGTAAATCCAAGTTGCACACGACCCCGTAGTTATCCGACTGAAGGAATTCTGTTGTCTAGAAGCAGTTGTAGGCAGAGGCGACGCTGCAAAACAATGCGGGCGTCCGACCGCTTTGTACCACCATCCCAATTAAGATGTTTTTGCAAACTGATCGCTGTATATTTGCGTGATGTTAGCAGATTATTCTCGG